CTGGCACCAAATATTACAAATAACTGCATTATTTCTAAGATTGGGACAATCAATATTTCCCTGCCGAGCGGAGCGAGGAGATTTGTTTTACTGAAGATGTTATGCCAAACTATTTCAAGCACTGCCGAGCGTAGAAAGCAAGAATGTATCGGACATTATTTCCATTGTCAAACAGATCGAGTGAGGCGTAGAATATATTTCTGAGTTTGCGGTGTTATTCCAGATTATATTTTATAACGTAGAGTATTTGTATTTTATAATGGCCGAGCGGAGCGAGTGTTAACAAATTCTGTAAAAAATGGTAAAAATGTAGGTGTTTGGTTAAAATGTTGACGTTTGTGTCATGCCCTTCATGTGCATGTAGTTAGGCGAGCATTTTGGCAATTAAATATTGATTTATTTTGTTATAAATATGAATTATGATTTAACTGTTCGTCTTTTATTGTGAATTTGTACGCTTACATATGTACAAGGGCAACACCTTATGAAAAGGATATATATATTACATGCCAGCCTTTAATGTTAACATTGGTTATTATTCACCTGATAAAGTAATGCTAAGGAGGGTGCTTCATTGTCTTAGAAAATTTTGAAATTAATATTTTTTAATTGGTATAACAAATCAATCCTGGTGATCATGTGGACATGAAACCAAAGGTGAAAATACAGGTTTATCTATCATGAATTGACTCTACCTTTGAAATAACACTTTACCTATATACCTAATTCCAACAGATGGTATAGTCCTCTCTCAACTGACAGGGTGATCACCAAACCGTGACATTAGAACAATAAGATTAGGTAGAGTCAGTCCGGTGAGCCATGACCACTGATCTGACTGGAGACCCTACTAATATATAGACAATAGAGGATTAATACCCTGTTGATTAGAGCTTAAGTAGTGAACTCATCGTTTGGGCAACACCCTTAGATATGCAAACTTCTGACAAGGGGAAGCCATAGAAAATCATAGTTCAAGGGATGGTTGATATTAGAAGGAAATCCCATATGAAATAGAGGAAAATCTTTAAAAATTTTGGTAACGATTATTTTTGGACACAGAAAAAAGGGTGTTGCCCGGACAACTAGGGCAACACCCCTGGGACCGCCACTGTATGTAGTAAATTAAACGACAATACTCTCCGAATTTAACCATCGATTGTTAAGTGCGCTGTACATATGAATATATCCGCTTTAGTTCCGTCTATCTTGTGTATACGTAAGCGATACGTATACATCTGTGATTGATGATGAAACGACAAACGTTGTCGGTAGAGTNACTCGAGTCAGTCCGGTGAGCCATGACCACTGATCTGACTGAAGATCCTACTAATATATAGACAATAGAGGATTAATACCCTGTTGATTAGAGCTTAAGTAGTGAACTCATTGTTTGGGCAACACCCTTAGATATGCAAACTGCTGACAAGGGGAAGCCATAGAAAATCATAGTTCAAGGGATGGTTGATATTAGAAGGAAATCCCATATGTAATAGAGGAAAATCTTCAAAATTTTTGGTAAAGATTATTTTTGGACACAGAAAAAAGGGTGTTGCCCGGCACCTAGGGCAGCACCCCTGGGACCGCCACTGTATGTAGTAAATTAAACGACAATACTCTCCGGATTTAACCATCGATTGTTAAGTGCGCTGTACTTTGAATATATCCGCTTTAGTTCCGTATGCGTATACGTAAGCGATACGTATACATCTGTGATTGATGATGAAATGACAAACGTTGTCGGTAGAGTACAAAGTTACGTCAGAAGATATATATAGATATCTATATGTATATGATATCCCATCTTAAACACGATGTCCTATCGTTTAGGTTATTGGAGTAACGGACGAGGCAAACTTTAGACGTCAGATACTTTCCAGGAAATACATGAACACGTCGTTGTATGTCTAAAATCTCCTCTTTGTTGTCCTAATCGATCTTAACGACCATTATAATTTAGCGGTATGTACGATGAAGTCAATGTGAAGACGAGGTTTGTACATAATTAATTTGCTTATGTGTTGACCAATCGGGAACCGTCGGTACTTTCCGTTAACGAGAAAATATATATAACTAAAAGTTCCCGATTTCGTGTTGACCACACTTCCAGTGGAAGTACTTTCTGTTGCAAACATAATCAAATAAACGTTTGTACTTATGTATTTAGGACAGCAGAGAAGGAAATGAAACACCTAGGCTTCTCATCATGGTCAGACGCTGAACAGAAGGCAGAAGATAGGGTGTTGTGGAGAGGACTTGTTCATGGCCCTATTCTCCACTTGGAGAAAGGAACTAAGTCACGTGTACGTATCAAGGGACAGTACTCGTTAATCACGCGATGACTCAAGTTCCAAGTTTTATTCAAACTTTGGGCCATTGGCCCATCAGTATACAAACCATATTTTTACAAAAATCATGGAAAATGTACAGAGGATGAAAACAATCATATTCCATTATAATACCCTTAATTTGTTTGCCTCATATATGAATTTTCCTAGTATACACAATTCTTTAATATTATGGACACTCAATAACTGGACGACTTTTAACACAGATGTTTTTTTCCAATAATAGCTTTTGATAAAACGAGATCTGAGATTTTGGAATTTAGAACATACCAATAAAAAATGAAATTCGTCCTCTAATTCAGAGGGGGAGTTACACTGTTTACAATATCTACGTTCTCTAGGTATATTATTATACCTTCCAACTTCTATAGCTAAAGAATGGGTAGATGTACGTATTCGAGTTAAACAAATGCGATATTTCTTTGGTATATATTTTGTGAGGTAAAATTGTAATGTTTCTCCAAAATCTATTATATGTTTATACAATAAACATTTTGGAGAGTTTTCCACTGTGGCCCTTAGGAATTGTATGCCTTGATCAAAAATTCTTTGTTTTATCAATGGTAATAACAAATTTTGCTGAGAGATACATGGATTTAACCAAACATCACTAAGACCTAGATTATTTAATTCATCTCTTACTGCTATAGCCCAGTTGAAATCATTTCTACTACAACACTGTAATAAAAACCTATAGGAAGTTGATATAATACAATTTTCAGATTTTAATATCTTAAACCAATATTTTATCATTCTATTTTTTCTCATCCAAACTGGAGGTAACCGGCCCAAATCAATGTATACCATGTTGTTATTGGCCGATTTCTTCCCCTTTTAGTAGTTTCTTACAAAAATGTTAATGTGCATACACATAATTTCACTTGCATAGAAAAGGATACTGCTTACATATGCATCGATAAGGTGGAGCATAGTTTTTACATTTAAGTTTAATGATGAACACTTTGAAAATAATGCAAACATAGCTTTTCGTCCTTGGCTAGCTATGTGTTTTTGTATAGATGTGAATTTATTGTTGTAATTTAAAATAACAAAGGACTCAAGGTCTACTGAACCCCAATCGGGAACCCTCGGCACATTCCGTAAACGAAAAAAAAATTTCTCGTAACGATTCCGCTTTAAAAAGTCTTAAAGAAACAGCAGAATTTCAGGCACTATGATATCGTTTACGGAAAATGCCGACGGTTCCCGATTGACAAAACCTGTAACCAGATTCTAGATATCCTAGACGGCCCTACTGACCGTTTTTAACCCAAAAAAAACCAAGTATCATTTTCGGCAGTTAAATGACAAACTAATGTAGCTTTTCGTGTTGGAAGAACATGTTATATTTCCAAGTCTTTCACAAAATTAAATGTCATCTTCTGGTACGCTTAATTTCAAGGTTTTAAGGTAGAGGAAGTCAAGATCTATAACGGTTTTGAAATCTTTGTATGGTGCGTTTTTCCCTCGATTTTAGACACGATAATCTATTTTAAACACGCAGTCCTATCCTAGATTATTTTAATAGCTGATGTCAAATGCAACGTACATTTAGTATTTACTTTTACTGGAGAACACAAACCGACACACCCGGTCACAGGACTAGTGCAATATTTCGTAGTTCAGGGCGGAGTTTACGTTTGGGGTTATTTTCTAGGATTACGATGATTCATAGGGAGGCGTTATAACTTGACTCCTCTCGACTTTAGACTTGCTTGGGTAGGTTACATTAATTGGTGTATATTCAAAGTTATCGCTGAATGAAATCTTTCTTTAAATCTAAAAATAGTATATTTAAAAAAAAATACTTTTGCATTAAACTGTCGTGTCATAAACCAAATGATCAACAATTATATCCACGAAATCTCGTACTCTATAGTTCTATCCGCAAAAGCCATGATTTATGGTGATAAAAAGTTACTTTGTATGGTAAGCAGTGACGTATGTTATATATAAATCCAAGTGAAGTTTTTTTTTACTAATTGCCATGTTGGTTCTGTCAATCGAATCTTCTCAACCGATCCCGTCAAATAATTTTCGCGATCTTTCGAAAGCGTCTGTTTCGTAATTAAAGAAACAGGCGTTTTCGAAATCTCGCAAAGTAAGTTGTCAATTACCATTTGTGATCAAAACAAACTTGACTTTCATTATTCATACAGAACTGATGAATCTCATTCCAATCCCGTCAAAGCTCAGAATCATACCTCTTGATTTGGCCGTGGTGTTACGTTAGATAAGGTGTCAAGTGGCACAATGACACACTTGGATTTTTTGGCAGTGGACATTTAAACACAATAGAATGATAAGAACTCGTACACTATTTTTGGTTTTATCGGCTTTCTGGATTAATCAGCGTTTGGTTTAGATGTCTTCCTGTTTATCACTGGAATCCCTTGTTTCGTTTGCAATAGATATGCTACAGGATTCTGTATGGTTTTATTTACATTATAATTACCCAAGGTTAAGGTCTGCAAGGGTTTCCGGATTATGCATGCTTATTTACATTATAATAACCCGAAGTTAAGGTCAGGTCTACAAGGGTTTCCAGATTAAGATTTGTACCGATAAGACAGGCATCATTGTAAACTACCCCATGTTTTCCTTAATAAAAATATCAATAGCAAAGTAAAATATAACATAAACAATACCATGTATCTTTCTGTTGTTTCTTTTTATTCTGGAATAGGTTTACGACAAATGAAACCGACTTAGTATTAGCGCAGGGTGTTTATAAGTTGAAGAGAACAGTTCTCTTGTCTCTGGTCATTCAACATAGACTTATCCCTGTGATTAAAATCACGTAAGTCATTATCCATCTCACGCTCAGTGAGGCCCGCCCTCTATATCGGTAGCATGTACAGCGTAATTAAGAAATGGCACGCGCACTCGTCACGCTCCCGACCCCCGGAGCATCTTTGTATCGAGTGGGGGTATGTGGAGATTTTCTACATCGCAGCGCACTTTAAATATATCAATTTCTCCCCTGGACAGCGACCGGAAATTGAAAGCATCAGTCATAGGTTTTCAGACTTTCAAAATTCATTTTGTACCTGGACCCACTTCGTTGAAAAGGTCATGTTTTTTCCGAACTGTCAAGTTTCTTAAACACTGCAACTGAAAAGTTCTAGTCATGTCGTTAAATACTGAACTCCCGTGCTCACGAAACTGGGACGACTGTCCAAAGTGACCGTTGGTCAGTTTCAGGCGATCTTCAGTATGATCTTGAACAGCACACGACCTTGAGAGGACAATGCAGACTTTGATTTTGAGAGGCATTTGAGCCTCGGAAATTTTAGCAAAATCCTGGGATTGGATCTTTGTTTCCTCAGCGTCCGAGTATCCTTTTCAAAAGGGTTACCTTCCGCTTCCTGTTTTTGAGGCACATGCGTACAACGTTCTCGAAAACATCCTTGACGTTGGAAACGTTTCTCGCAGAGCACTCGATAAACCCATTAGCTTTGACTGATTTAGTCATCCTCCGTCCCTCTTCTGTAGTGACGTGTTTGGTTGTCCGCTTGTCCGTTTGTAAAGCCACCACCAAGACTGGACATCGTTTGGCCAGGCTTCCTACCTCACGTGACCAGTGTGTCCGCAAGCTGTCGTACGATTCTCGGTCCAGAACGCTGTAACACAGTAAGATGACGTCAGACTTGCAGTAACTCATGCGCCGAACGTCACTTCCTTCATGCTGAAATAAAACAAAAATACTCAAAATTGATTCGGATTAAATTACCTTGTGTAGATTTGATTAAGAAGGCAATTCTCATTGTTCTTTGATTACCAAATATTTCGTGGACGTCATTTGTCCAACACTTAGAGGTGTCGCTAGCTAATTGCCTCCGGGAGTTAAACTTGCATTCGTCGCTTGAAAATAATGAATAATTCACAGACCTAATGTGTGTTTTCTAATTTAAAATTCTAACGTTCAGCGAATTATATCGATAGTGTCAATTAACCGCTTTTTAAATATAATGTTTATGTTAAGGAAAAAATGGCGGGAAAGTACACGATAGTCAAACGGAACGTTCCGCCGATTCGGTTGGTATGATCTATTAGCATATCAACAGTTTCACACCTAATGAACCTATATGCTTTCAAGCAATCCCATACTATCATAAATCGTGTGAATTGAGAATATTTAACGTATATCTGTAACAGTAAGTGCATCTAAGTCTGCAACCATTGGGAAAGTGTCTGGTCTGGTAAACACACGGGTTTGATAATCAATTACAGTAGGTTTGTTTGAACCTCCCCTGGTGCATATTATTAGACTTTTAAGGGTATATATCACTTTATCTTATGAATAATGTAATGAATAATTCTCATGCCCCTGTGTTCTGGTAGTAGGGTGAGCGGTTACACAGGTCAACTCTCAGATAAGGCGGAAGTGTGGCTCCATGGATACAAAACGCGTCTGTATGACGATAACTTATAACTAATTTGAAAGTACATGTTACGCCTTCCATATTAAATAAATAAAGTGTTATTACTCAAAATTAAAATCAATATTTGAATTATCTGAAAATGAAACAAGCATGGTATATTTGAAGTCATATAATTGTATAACTACGCTTACCTCTCCAGCCGAATCTGTTATAGTGATGCTGTATTGGTCCCCAGCGAACCAAGCTTGACCGCTGTATCTGTCCTGGACAGTGGCCACATACTGGTCAGGGAAAACCTTGTCCGCGAACACTTTGGCAAGACAAGTCTTACCGACCATGCCATCTCCCACCAAAGTACAAATGACGTTCTTCGTATCCATGGTCACAACCATAGTATATATATATATATATGTGTGCAGAAAGTCACAAAACAGCTGATTGAGGTTCAAAATAGCTTTCGTATAATCTTATATATCCTGTATTCGTCTCTCAGTGTCGTTCTGGGCAGAAGTACGGGAATCAGCAATGTTTTAGTATTTTCTGTTTGTAAAGTAACCAATCAGAATAGAGCTTGGGATCACCTACTTAAAGCTGTCAGATGTTCCGATAAATTTCCGCGTGTGCGTAATTGTACCGCAAGGCCCTAAATAGATTATCACGGCCCGACAAAGGACGAAGCCAACCTCACCGCGCGCAGGTAAGTGTGACAAAATCACTGGAGCGAAACGATCCAAACATAAAGGTAACTGGACGGGCGAGGATCAAAGAGTGCAGCAGGAGATGACATGTGTTTTACCGTTACAGGGATATGTCCGGTTATCCGTTCACAGCTTTGGGTCATAACCCTAACTATTTTGTTGGATGGTAATTATGTGTTCCCCGCAAGTTACAAACTAACAGTTCCGCTAAAACATGTCATTTATTCTCTTTGATCATCTGACATGCACAGAACTTTTCATACTTCCCCGAAAACAGGTAGCCGTTTAGAAAGAGTTGCAGTATCAATCAAGTGCCATAACGTACGTATTTAAGTTGTGAAGCTTCAAGATGCGATTTTGATAATATTCCATAATTTAAGAAATATTCATTTATATACAACTCAATATGGGGACCTTCTAGTGGGTTTTTTTGGTAGCATTTTTTTTTCTTTCATATTTTCACAATTTTAGATGACATTGTGAAACCAAATACCTTTCCACGTTTAAAATATAATCCATTATTTCTTCTTTCATGCACCACCTTTAAAAAAAGAAAAATTCCAAACATTACCAATCAGTTTTGTTTTTGCTTAAAAATAGTTTACTTATACCAGAGACGTTAAAGCCACTCTGTAGTATATACGTCTCTGCTTATACATCTTTTTCCAAATTATTAAAGAATTTGACCTCTTGAGTCAGTTTAACTAAGTGCACCGTGACTAGCTCAAATCAGCCAATGTTTACGATTCAAACTGGATATTTCTACACGGCTGTTTTATAAAACGCATTCTTTATCGCAAGTAAGGATGTATACAAATTGTTAACTTACAAACTATTTTTAGTTTGTGCTATTGTATCGAGAAAAAAGAAGCTTCGCGATAAAACAGTTACTATCGGCTATTTCCGTATCACATCTTCATTGTTGTGATAATGATATAGATTTGGACCACAATTACGTTTATTTTGGGTAAAAAATGGAGACGATAAAATCTTTCTAAGGTCAGAATTTACAACAGCATTGTGCTTATAATACGCCCGAGCGAGCAGTTTCTACAGAACCGTCCATCTTCGTTCATGATGAGGCTAATTTCAACCTGTATACTATGACTTAAGGGTTATTTTGAAGAAAAAAATACACCATTCTATCGTGTTGAAGCAAATATCTGAAATATTTCTCAATTTTTTATTTCATCTTAGTCTATATATCAACTTAATATTATAGGTCATCTTCGTTTTAGTGCAACCAGGTGCTACCCAAAATTTAACGTGAGCTGTATTGACCTCAGAATTTGACTATGCTTACCACAAAAATGGCTAGAGTGACTATGTTCCTCGGCTAAAGTGACTTCAGTGACCACAGACACTAACCATATTGACCACATAAATTGGCAATAGAAACAACAGTAAGTGGCCCTACAAGCCAAAGAATGCTACTATAGTGACCATAGAATTAACTATAGTGGCTAAAGTGACCACATGATGTAACTATAGTGACCACAGACACTGGCGCAAGTGACAAATGTTCCTATATTGACCACAGACACTGGCTCAAGTGACCACAAAATGGTATTCTAGTGACCTCAGACACTGGCTAAAGTGAAAAATGTTCCTATATTGACCACGAACACTGGCTAAAGTGACAAATGTTCCTATATTGACCACAGACACTGGCTAAAGTGCCAAATGTTCCTATATTGACCACGAACACTGGCTAAAGTGACAAATGTTCCTATATTGACCACGGACACTGGCTAAAGAGACCACAGAATGTAACTATAGTGACCGCAGACACTGGCTCAAATGACCAATGAATGTAACTTTATTGACCACAAACCCTGGCTAAAGTGACTACAGAAAATAACTATATTGACCACAGACACTGGCGCAAGTGACAAATGTTCCTATATTGACCACGAACACTGGCTAAAGTGACTACAGAAAATATCTATATTGACCACAGACACTGGCGCAAGTGACAAATGTTCCTATATTGACCACGGACACTGGCTAAAGTGAAAAATGTTCCTATATTGACCACAGACACTGGCTCAAGTGACCACAAAATGGTATTCTAGTGACCACAGACACTTGCTCAAGTGACAAATGTACCTATATTGACCACGGACACTGGCTAAAGTGACTACAGAAAATAACTATATTGACCACAGACACTGGCGCAAGTGACAAATGTTCCTATATTGACCACGGACACTGGCTAAAGTGACCACAGAATGTAACTAAATTGACCACAGACACTGGCTAAAGTGACCACAGAATATAACTATATTGACCACAGACACTGGCTAAAGTGACCACAGAATGTAACTAAATTGACCACAGACACTGGCTAAAGTGACCACAGAATATAACTATATTGACCACAGACACTGGCTAAAGTGACCAAAGAATGTTCCTATATTGACCACGGACACTGGCTAAAGTGACCACAGAATGTAATTATATTGACCACAGACACTGGCTAAAGTGACCAAAGAATGTTCCTATATTGACCACGGACACTGGCTAAAGTGACCACAGAATGTAACTATATTGACCACAGACACTGGCTAAAGTGACCAAAGAATGTTCCTATATTGACCACAGACACTGGCTAAAGTGACCACAGAATGTAACTATATTGACCACAGACACTGGCTATAGCAAGCACAGACAGTGGATCTAGTGACACATACATGTAGTGAGCACAAACTTATGCTAAAATACATGACCACGGAAGTAGTGATTGCCTAAAAAACAAGACCAGTTATGTCCAAGGTGGCGTTATGACTAATATCAAATATATTGTAGGGTGTATCTCATTTCCACTATTTTACACCAATGGCTGACCTGACTTTTCGTGTAATTAACAGGAATTAACACACACACTTCCGTGAGAGAGGTTCTATATAAAGGAGGGAACCTGTAAAATAAAACAGAATCATATACATAACCTCATCTGAGTGAAAATAGATGTGAGGGAAATATTGATCGACTATTTTTGTATCGTCATTTGCCACTTCCTATTATAAAGCTGGGAATGATATGGAATATAAGTGATAATGATGTGTCCCACAGGGCGTTCGATATAACAAGTTTGAAATCTATTGGAAGATGTTTATTTATATTTTTGTATTATTTATAGAATATTTCTGTATCGATGTTTGCCACCGCCCTATTAACGAGTTACAATGTATTAAGAATATAAGATACATATAGTAAGTGGTTATGATAAGTACCACGTGGCGTTATGACTCCTGGTATTAACACATTTTCTTAACATTTTCTCAGAAAGTGTAGCGTGTAACTGTTAATAGAGTGTGGATATATTGACCATTTAAATGGCTATAATGACCATAGAAACAGGCTGTAGTGTATCACAGAAATAGGCTGTAGTGTACCATAGAAATAGGCTGTAGTGTACCACAGCAATAGGCTGTAGTGTACCACAGACACAGACTGTAGTGTACCACAGAAACAGGCTGTAGTGTATCACAGAAACAGGCTGTAGTGTATCACAGAAATAGGCTGTAATGTACCACATAAATAGGCTGTAGTGTACCACAGAAATAGGCTGTAGTGTATCACAGAAATAGGCTGTAGTGTACCACATAAATAGGCTGTAGTGTACCACAGAAATAGGCTGTAGCGTACCATAGAAACAGGATGAGTGTATCACAGAAATAGACTGTAATGTACCACAGAAATAGGCTGTAATGTATCACAGAAATAGGCTGTAGTGTACCACAGAAATAGGCTGTAGGGTACCACAGAAATAGGCTGTAGTGTACCACAGAAACAGGCTGTAGTGTACCACAGAAATAGGCTGTAGCGTACCATAGAAACAGGATGAGAGTATCACAGAAATAGACTGTAATGTACCACAGAAATAGGCTGTAATGTATCACAGAAATAGGCTGTAGTGTACCACATAAATAGGCTGTAGTGTACCACAGAAACAGGCTTTAGTGGACCACAGAAACAGGCTATAGTTTACCACAGAAACAGCCTGTAGTGTACCACAGAAACAGGCTGTAGTGTATGACAGAAATAGGCTGTAGTGTACCACATAAATAGGCTGTAGTGTACCACAGAAACAGGCTGTAGTGTATCACAGAAATAGGCTGTAGTGTACCATAGAAATAGGCTGTAGTGTACCACAGAAACAGGCTTTAGTGTACCACAGAAACAGGCTATAGTTTACCACAGAAACAGCCTGTAGTGTACCACAGAAACAGGCTGTAGTGTATGACATAAATAGGCTGTAGTGTACCACATAAATAGGCTGTAGTGTACCACAGAAACAGGCTGTAGTGTACCACAGAAACAGGCTGTAGTGTATCACAGAAACAGGCTGTAGTGTATCACAGAAATTTAAGTGGTGTTTGTGACCTTTTATGAGGCATTGATTGTGTGTGTGTGTCTCTCTCTCTCTCTCTCACCATATCCCATTCCCCTGTCTCTCCTTTCCTCCCTCCCTCGATCTCTACTGTTATTCTTTGCGGAAAACAATTTCTATTTCAACAACGCATTTAAAAGTGAACATATATTGTATTTCAGTAGTTATAATTATTACAATAATACATTGCCTCTCATCCTTATCTTATTATAATAATACATTGCCTCTCATCCTGATCTTATTATAATAAATGCACATTACTTCTGGACTTTAGCAGGGACTATTGAAAGTATCCCTGCATATATTTTGAACTTTGACTTGTCTGTCATACGATGTGTTACAATTTTTGACGCTGGAGGGCTTTACCTATCAAGGGTATGAGAACCGCCAGGTAAAAATAAATCATAGGTGTCGAATAGGTATCAGATTAACGAGATATT